GTGGTCGACGAACACAGGTCATCAAAGCTGTGTTGCGCCTGTCACGCCACCCTGCACGCCCACCAGTACGTGCGGGTCCGCAACGGCGAGGAGAAGCTGGTGGACGTGTGGGACACGAAGCGGTGCGGCAACAAGGCCTGCAGAGTTCATGTCGTCAACCGCGACGTGAACGGGGCTGCCAACATGCTGATGCTGACCAAGTGCTTTTTTGCTGGGGCGTCGCGTCCCACAGCATTTGGTGGACCCCCTGCTTCCCCTTCTCCCGCCCTCCCACCCCCCCCACCCCCTCTGGTTCGCCGATCGAGGCAACCAACTGCACCAGTCAGATCCCGCTTGCGGGAAGCAGCTGTGCAACCGGCGCAAGCCCGGTAGGGATCTGTTTCTCTAAGCAAAACAGATCCCTCCTGGTTCCAGCGGGTGTACAGGTGTGCCCTGCACGATCACAGTCCAGGGTCAAGGAATGCATTATCCGATTCCCAAGGCCATGCAGGGTGAACACCACCGAATCCTTGCATCGATACTGCTGTGATGAGCGCTTGCTTCAGTGCGACGGCTTTGGTTGCACAGCGAGCAGGACCCAGGTGCGCGAGACGATTCCTACCTCCAGGCCGCGAGAGACAGCCAAGCAGGCCCAAATGTTGGAATCCGCCAAGTATATGATTCCAGCATGGCGCTCCCGACTGTCATGCCTGCAGAGTCACCAGCCTGACGGTGCACCATCCTTGCGCGGATCGCTCACACCATGCAGGGTGGGCGTGGTACTCTGACCCACCCCGATCACGGGGTCCACCACCACAGCCTGTACCACGGCGCCCCAGTTGGTGAGCTGGACGTCGTGGCCATGCGCAGCCAGGTCCTGTTGTGGGTGGCATGGGGTGAGGGTTTCAAGGTCTCCATGCAGGGTCTCGCGTTGGGCCGTCTCACGCCCATGCAAGCGCTACCAGGGTCGGTCGTCCCTGTGCACATCATGTGCGACCCATTCGCCAGCCACCCCGACAGGCTCACGACCATATGTGAGCAAGTGGGCACAGCTTCACATGCACCCCGCACGCCTCACCTCCAGCAGGGGTGTGCTGTAATTGAAGCTGATGCCGCCCACACTCCAATTCTCAGCGTAAAGAATGGAGGGCACCAGCTGGTGGTGGAGACGCGGATTGGCCACCGCATCAAACGCGGGTTCGCCATAGGCTATGAGCCTGCGAGCGCGCACCGGTGGCCGAGACTCGATGGATTCTGGGTGGCGAGTTGACACCGTGTGGCGCCAGACGTTCACCCAGGCCCCTCCCCTGCGCGGACCCCTCATCCTGCACAGCCGCGCAGGGGCGCACACAGAACCTCACATGGCCTGCCCGAGGGACCTGCCTTCACCTGAGCACGGTCTGCAGGACCGCAGAGATGATGCGCGGACCGCCGCTACCCCCCACGCACACGCGCAGCTTGCCATCCTGCTCCACGATGAGGGGGCTCATGGAACTGAAGGGCTTCTTCCCTGGCCTGCAGCGTGGGGGGACATGCACAAGGTTCAGGAGTTTGAATTGTGATGACAGCAAGGCCCCGCGTGCCACGCCTCGCACTGCTGGGCACGGAATGGCGACGGCAGCGCAGTCGCAGACACAAATTCGTCCAGCACCGCGCCTCGGTCCTGGCAAGGCAGGCGGCGCAGCCCCTTTGCCAAAGCCACGTCCCACCTGATGAAGTTGCTCGGAGATGGGGGGTAGCCAAACACGTTGAGCTGCCCGGGTGTAGAGAAGTCGGCCATCTGGTTGTTCAGCAGGATGCCTGTGCCAGACAAGAGAGACCAGCTCAAGGCCAAAGGCATCACAGCATGTTGCTGCAGCTCTCCATGCCAGCAATACGGCCATTCAAGGACGGCGCGGAGGGCAGCACTCCCGGGATCTTCTCACATCCCGCCGTGCAGGCGCCCCAGCCATCGCTGGCTCCTCACATACGGACATGCCTGATCTGGCATCCAGCAACCCACATTAGCCCGGCAGGCACCCCCTCGCACCACCCACCCGTGGAGGGGGACAGGATCTTTGATCCAAACCCGGTGTTTATTGTGGTGGTCAGGCTGACGGCCATTCCAGAGTCGTCCACGACTGAGAGGTGGGACGTCCCGGCATCCAGGCCATGCGCTCCCGCGGTGACGTTCCAGCGGCCCCCATACTCGGTGAGGTTCAGCACGCCGTCATCCCTGATGAGATCCCTGCACGGCATGCCATCGCCCCAGGGGGGGAGTGTGAAGGTGAGCGCCGACTGTGCGTTGGAGTCCATATGGTCAGGATCCAGCCGCCGCGCTCAGGCCAGCCCTGACCAGGGACAAGGGCTGCACGTATGTATGCGCCGGGGTGACAGGGCCAGTCCCGGCACCCTGTCACGCCCCAGGCACTCGCCTGAGGGCGTCCGCATATGAAGGGGAGCGAAGGTCCTGCAGGACGGGATCCACGTCCAGGAACTTTGACCCTGGGCCGGGGTCCCCGAGGCTCATGCGCGCCGCAAAGGCATGCTTCATGCTCTCAACGGTGCGGTGCATGCCCAGGGCTCCGGAGCCCGCCAGGGGCAGGTCGTACCCTGCAAGGGTGCGGTGCCATGATGCGGTCGAGGTGGGGCATGCAGGACATGGGCTGGTGCGAGCGCCGCCGCACCCATGGGATCCTGCACCAGCCTGGAGGATCCATCCCAGATCAGACAAGGTCCCTGGAGAGCCCCGGGTTCCCCCCCCGACATGCGAGAGTGTACCATCAAACTCACGCTACCTGCCATTCCAGGCAGCCAGCCGCTCATGCACGCACATGAGCACGCGGACCACCCCTCCTCCAAGAGACCCACCCACCTGCCAGGATGCGGAGGGCGCTGGTGATGGTCAGCGCGGAGGTCGGGGGCCCCGGGGTCCAAAACTCCAGCCCCAGCACCCGCTCCCGACTGGGCACCGACAGCGTGGCCTGCGCGCCGGCCAGGTCAGCCTCGCTCACGACGCCGCCCTCCCCCGCGATCTCCAGCACCAGTCCCGCCGCCGTCTCGCCCCCATACATCACGCCCGGCCCCTCCTTTGCCACTCTTTCCAGCAGCCGCGCCAGGGCGGGACGCGCGCAGCACGTCTCGTTCACCCTCGGGGCCCGCCAGCCGCCGCCCTCGCGCACGAAGAAAGCGTCCCGGAAGGCGGGGAAGGCGCCCAGCACCGCGCTCTGGTTCACGTTCCCCAGCGCCGCCACCAGGTAGGGGTGGGCGGGGAAGCCCTTGGCGGCCACGGGGACGACGGGGGCCACCACGTCTGACCAGGGCAGCGCCCCGTGCCTACTGTGCACGCTGTGCAGGCCCTGGAGCTCCATGGGCACCGCGACAGCCAGACCCCCGGTGATGGCGGCATCGGGGCGGTCTGTGGGACGAGGTGGAGGTCAAGAGTGCCACAGGCTGAGCAAGAGGGTTGTTGTTCCACAAAGGTAATGGGCATGCCGCTGCATCGGTCAGAGTCACAGCGGGTCTCTGGGACAGGGAGGGGCCTTGCTTTCAGTGGCCCGAACCCCCGGGGGGAGTTGAGAAAGCGCCTCGCAATCCAGTGGCACTCTGGCATGGCGCCGCAGCAGGCAAGCGACCGCTCCCAGAATCTGCACGGTATGCCCGCCCCGCCCCAGGCCCCGCGCCTTTGAACATGGTCTCGTTGGCAGCGGCGGGGGCGACTTCCCTTGCATCCACAAACTCCGCGGAACCGTTAGCAAGCCTGCTCGGTAGGAAGGGGGCATGCAAGGAGCGTGAGGGCTGCATGTCTGTGGAAGGCCCTCAATGCGAGAACGCCTGGTGAAACAACGAATCCAGCCGAGGCCAGTGCCCGAGGGCACGCTGCGTCCTGGCCGCGTTACATACGCCTCATCCCCCTCCTCCATCCACAGCTCTTCCCTCGCCTCGCCTGACGAGGATGAAGGCCCCACCCCCCAGGCCACTGGCAGCGGGGTTCATCACGCCCTGGCACAGCGTGGTGGTGACTGCCGCGTCCACAGCGTTCCCACCCCTCCTCAGGGTGTCCACGCCCATGTCGGAGCAGCGCCCGTGGTCCGCGGCCACTACACCCCGGCGCGCTGACACGGCACGTGGGTGGCCCCGGTAGTCGTGCCGCGCGGAGAAGTCGCCCGTGATGGAGCCTGCAGTGGAAGGGTGTGTGGGTGGTCGACAGAGGCGAGAGATTACGCATTGCACACCAGGTGGAAAGGCTACCTGGCTGCAGCGCAAGGAGTGGCCGGGAACGAGCAGGGCAACTGAGGAGTCCGCAAGCCATGAAACAAAAGGAAATCTACCTTCTGGGGCGGACGACTTCTTTGGAGTGACCGCAGGGCGATCATTGGGGACCTCCTCGCGTGCCGATCGCATGCTGTACCTGCCGCCGACAAATACAGTCACCAGCGTCAAGGCGATGAGGCCTGCGAGTCGCATGGCAAGGCCGTTGGTTGAGAAGTGGAGCATAGCGTGCAGGGATGAGCTTCACACAGACAGACACACAGGTTGCAGCACACTGAACACAGCTCTGGCTGTGAGCACAAGTGGTGTGCAAGTTGTGCTTGGTGCCTACACCTGGCAGGAGTATGGCCCACTCCACACCTGGACAGCCACATACTGGGACCCCTCAGAACCCCATCTGATCGACCACACCTGTGAGGAGGGCAACGCAAAGGACCCCAGATCTCCATTTTCGCATTCGATGCAGAGTAGCTGCGATCCTGGTGTGTGTGTATGTGGTTGGGGGGGGGAAAAGGGGGGGGTAAAGGAGCTAACTTGTGGAGGAGCTGGCATGCAGCTACATTGAGTGCATCCACCTCATGCACGACAGAGCACTGTTCGGAGCCTTGGACCCAGCAGTTCTGTCTCATATGCTTAGTGCAAGCAAGATCCTGGCTACCCTGCCCACCTCGTCCTGATTGTGGGCGATCGGGAGAGGATTCGGTCGTCGCCCAGAGACTCGGCCTCGAGCCATCCGTCCACCGACGCCTGGTCTCCAACACCCATCTGAAGCTCGAATGTCTGGCGATCTATAGCACTGTAGGACATCCACGTCCGATGAAGCTGTACGAGACCTCCTCAGCGCATGCAACTCAAAAATTCGACGAGTTCCCTGCGCGCAGTTCTTCCAGGGTTGCGCAGGCAGAATGGGCAGCAGAAGGCGCGGATGGGATCTACAACACCTTGTAGAAGCACAAAACTCCCCCAGGAGGAGTGGGAGCGGAGGACGCAACGAGCTGGCTCATGTGATCCAGCACCCTTTAAGTCTCGCGCCTTGCCGGAACGATCGAAACATGGCCCGCGAATGAAACAAGGGTAGGATCATCACACAGTGGCACAGCGCTCGAATGCCTCATGTAATTACCATTACTGGGTAATTCCAAGGTCCTGGTGGATTTTCTTAGTTGGGCGTCCTTAGGCCATCCTTCCCGAGCTAGCTGGCTGTGTGGCTGTCGCTGAAACGCTAGACAAGGCCACTAGCATGTCACACAGGGCATGAGAGGTGTATCTATCTTGCCATTCAGCTTTGAGCGATAGATCAGGCACCAGGAGCGACGTATCTCCTCTCCTTTGCCTTATGACGGTGTTCATGTCAGCAGGCCAATGTGTCACCCGGTCCATCACAGCTGCACATGCCAAACGGTGCAGCCCTGGCCCTGTGCATCATCGGCACATACTTTGCAGATGCGATGGACCCCAAGCAGAGGCCAGCCAGGCCATGCCATTCCACCAGCATGCCACAGCACCCACCTCCCGGCCGTCGCCAGATCAGCTGCGTTCCATGAGCGGGCCAGGAGCTCTCGCCTTCCTGGGGGACGCCGTCTGGGAGGTGGGCTGGGGGAGGAGACAAGAATGGTTTGCGCCCATCAAGTTGGCCGCCTGGGCTGCTGTCCTGTGACAAATCTTATCAGGCAGCGACAGGTGGCCATCCTCCCTGCCCTGTGGCAGACGATTGTGTCCAGACCGCATGGCACAGATGATTAGGCACATTCTCCTCCCTGCGCCTCGTCAACATGCAGCTTGCAATCCACACTCGTCCCCCCATCAATTTCAGATGCACTTGCGCCAGAAATTCCTGCTGCCCGGCCTCCACCTGCAAGACTACTACGAGGCGGTGAGGAGCAGGGTCTGTGCAGAGGCTCAGGCGCGCTGCTATGACGAGCTCGTGGCGGGGGCTCTCCTCACAGACAGAGAGAGAGAGGTCCTGCGGTGGGGCTCCAATGCTTCGGGTGCGTGGTTCTGAGGGGGTTGTGGCATGAAGGTGCTTGAACTCGTCTGCACCCACAGGCGTACTTGTCCCAAGTGCCTGGCTGCCATGCACTGCGCATCCACCCGGACAGTGTCGATGCGGTTTCTGTCCTCCCCC